GCCCCAGTATGTCTCAGGCCGTTTTCTTCTCTCAGTGCTCCCCGCTTTGTGCAGAGCCCACGGGGTCCCCCGGAGGCCCCCGCCTCGCAGCAGCCCGCCTGCTCTGCTCCACCTCCTGCGCCAGCCCCGCCCCAGCCGCCCCTGGGCAGGCTCCAGCCCCTTCCCAGGACAGTCTAGACCTTCTCTGGCACCGCAGCCGCTGCCCCCTGGCCGGGGCCGGCAGACGCTGGCATCTGCCCCCCCCCTGCCCGCCCTGGTGCCCTGGGCGCCGTCTCCTCGCCGGCACCTGCCCACAGCGACTGTTTACGGAAGCCACTAGAACTTGTGGTAGCAGGTGAGAAAAGCCACGCGCAGAGCGCTGTGAATGCGAGGCCTGGCCCGTGCGCTCCGGCCTCGCCCTCGGGCCTGCAAAGGACAGTCACCCAGCCCCAGCCTGGCAGGGGCTCCCTTGCACTGGCAGGATGAACTGCTCTGCCCTCAGGGGACGGAGGGGCAGTCGGGGGGACTCCAGCAGCCTCCTCTCCCCACAGCTCCCCCGCGCTCCGCCTGGCCTGCGGGACTCGGGGACTCCAGGAAGGCCCATCCCTCCCGGTGGGCCAGGCCCGCCTCAGCCCAGGCACGGTGCCCACCCTCGGCCTCACCCTGGAGCCCCTCTCTGGGCCCAGGGGTGCAGGTGCTGGCCCCCCCAGCCTGGTGAGTACCTTCAGGTGGTGTCTGAAGCCCGTGGGATCGCAGGTGTCTCCTTTAGCCTGGAGCTGCCGCTTGTAACTGTCCTTTCACCCTATAGGGCCTTTCCCAGGGTGCTGATTTGGGGTCTCTGTGTGGGGCCGGGACCCCAGAGACCACTCTGGCCTTGGGGCGATCACAGCCTTCAGAGCCTGAACCCCAGTCCCTCCCGGGACCCCGCGCTGCAGCGGCCCCTGTGCCCACAGCTCAGGCTGGCACGCACCCCACGGCCCACCTGGCCCACCTGGCTCTGCCCTCCCCCACCGCCTGGGCTCCTGTGTGGCCTTTCAGAATATCTTTCCAGTGGGAAAATAGGAACCACCTGAAGGGCAGATCTGTGGCCAAGATTCACTATGCTGTCCACCCTCAAATGCGTGGCCAGGTGCTCGGCAGAGACACGTGTGCCCACCAGGAGCTGTGGCCCCTCATCCCGCAGAGATGTCGAGGGGCCTCCTTGCAGCCGGCCGCTCCCCCTGAAACGCTGGTGCTTGGAGCCTGCAATGGGTGTTATCTCACATGGACCTTGCCCCGGCCTCTTACTGGCTCTGTGGCCGACGCTGGGCCCCCGCCCCCCCTCCCCGCGGGGCCCTGAGCCCCCACTCTGTCTTCCCTCCCAGGTCTGGTGTGTGAGCGGAACTGGAGCTCCCGGCACAGCCAGCTCGGGCCGGTCACAGGAGCCCGCTCTGGCTCTATCCATTCTCCAGTTGACCTCGCTGTCGTGTTCTTATGGGCTCAGTTTTTAAATTTCCCCACCCAGTGATAGGCACGGAGGTGCTTAGTAATACTTTCAGGCAGTAAAGGTTTATAGTGTCTTTTCTCTTAGAAATCAAATGCTGTCCCCAAATAAACAGCCATAAAAGAAAAGAAATATAGAAAAATTACCTTTTTTCTATTTAATAAATGCAAGGAAGCTAATAAAATGGGTTTTAAGCAAAAAACTATTTTGCAAACAAATGAGAACTATATAACTCTGGGTCCCCAGCTTGGATTTTCTTTCTTTTTTCTGTGTATATATTTTACATCATTCTTCATTTTGTACATGTTTCATCTCGGTCTCCTCCCCGTGGGCTTCCCATCGCCACTTCTCCCGTGTGCCATCAACCATAGTCCTGTGAGCTCTTCCTGCCCCAATCCAGCGTAGATTTTCAAATTCACCCAAAAAATGCGATCATTCAGCTGCTTCACAGAGGACCGCCTCCCTCCTGGGCCCGCCAATGACAGGTGTTTGTGCAGAAAGCAGCTTTGAAGACACAAAAAATTTACTGAGCACCTTCCATGGTGTTTATTCTGCTCACAAGACCATCTGTGGTGAGGGTTGGGCTAGCCGCGCCTTTCAATTACTTGAAGAGTTACTGCATTTCTCTGATTGATAAATACACTCGAAACACACTCAAACGGGGCCAAAAGTTGGTTTTCCAGTCGGTGCGATAACCTGTGTGACTGATCTTAGGGGTTGTGGTGAGCTAAGGTCACCTTCACAGTTTACATTGTGTCGCGCAGGAGTGTATGGAGAGATCCTGTAAGGACACAGCCGAGGCTGCCACCGCCAGCCTGCAGAATCCAGCCTTGCCACCTCGACCTTGGACTTCCGGTCATTGGAACTGAGAAAATACTTTGAAGCAGCCTGAGTAGAGAGCACGTCTTAACAAGACTATGGAACTCAGGGAGCAGACTGCCAGCCTCCCCCAC